CAGGCTCCAACCTACTACTTTCCTGATTTCTCATTTCAAAAGCAGAAGGTAGTGCCACAAACTCCGGGACCACTGACCAGCTGAGGCCCTTTCCATTGAAATAAGGCTGCCCCAGCACAGCCAGCTTCCAACACAGCCAGGCACCTTCACGGATTTCCCAGTAAAGACAAGAACTTTGCACAATCAGGGACAACCTGAATAGATAGAACTATTCACTCTCATGAGCTAAAAAGTACTGGGAGGCAGAATTTAGCAGTTAAGGTCTTAGGTTTTAGCGCTTGTTTGGCTTAGGAAGCATCGCCCATAACCTGGAATGTGGTAACAGGCAGCCACTATGCATAGCAACACTTAAGCAAGGAAGGAAGAAAACCACAGACACTCAGGAGGATTCACCTCTGCCCTTCCCAGCATGTGGCTGGACTTCAGTAAAACCCAAGTAATGAATTCACAGCTTCGCAGGGTCAAGCTTCAACCTTCCAGATGATGTTGATACTTCTCCATCTTTGGCCTGGAATCATCCAGACAACAGTGGGAGGGAGAAGAGTTTCCATCCTCAGTGGACCCACTCTGCCAACTGAGAGCTAGAACGGGTCTGGGTGGCAAAGTTTCTTAACAGCGATGATGGCGACAAGGACAGAGAAAATATCAGAGAGGTATTTCAAAATCCTAACATTCTTGGGCTTGCTGGGAACTGCCATTGCATAATGCTAAGGAGGAGGGGTAGGGGCAGTCCTCAGACAATAAATTCCTCATGAAGTGGGCGCCATCTTTGTGCCTGAAGAGAAAACCAGGCATCGATGGATTCTCCCACACTTCACACAGCACTGCAAACAAAAAAAAAGTAGCCCACCTGGTGCTGGAGAACAGGCCCACCAAAGGCCACCATGCCCAGTGGAAAAGGCAAGTCTGGTGCTCAGCCAGGTGAGCAGAGGGAATGTGGAAATGGCTGGCCAAGTAGAAGAGGACCACTGGAAGTCAAGGACCCCCAGCAGGAGGGAGGGAATGGCCCATAGTCCAGTGCACATGGTCCAGTGCCATGGGGAGGTGGTGGATCACCAAGGAGCTCATCTCATCCTCTTTGGACCTGCTACAGGGTTGTGGGGAGGGTTAGTCATGCCAAGTGGGGCTACAGGGTACAAATCAAGGAGGCTCTGTCACGGTGTAGGCAAAAGGTAGGGTGGAGGAAGGCAGACTGAAGCAACATAAAGCAAATATCCAAACAACACCCATGTTCCCGACATGTGAGCCAGGAGGACAAGTGCTTCCTAGCCCAACCCCTGGAAGTGCTTCCTAGCCCAACAACCGGCTGGAAGTAAGGAAGATGCTCAGATACTCAACTGCTCTGGATGGGTGCAATCAAGAGTGCAGAAAGCTCTTGTCTAGGCCTGAGATGGTATCTGGAAGCTAAAAGAGGACAATAAGGCCCCGAAGGACCCACAAATGCAATGGGAATGAGGAAAATAGAACTCTGGTCATGAGGTGAATGCAATGTTCATGTCAGGAAGTGCAACTTTGGGGAAATGGTGAAGGCACCAAGGTGAAGCCTTTGGGAATAAGATTAGTGCCCTTATATTAGAGAGAGCTGTTGCCCCTTTCACCACGTGCAAAGCAAAATGGCACTATGAGCCACAAAGCAGACTCTCTCCAGACACTGAAATCCATCCGCACCTTGATCTTGAATTTCCAGCCTCCAGAAATACAAGAAACAAATCTGTTGTTTATAAGTCACTCTGTTTCTGGTGTTTTGTTACAGCCAGCCCAAATGGACAAAGACCACCAGCCAGTAAACTCTAGACTGAGGAACAGAGGGCAACAGAGAAGACCAGAGAGGGGCGACTGACCACCCCAGACAGGAGGGCCCTAACACTGTGTCCTTGCCAAAGTGAAAAGGCCACATCAACTGATTTCAGAGTCTCTTGCTCTTGAGGATCAACTCAGGCCTGCATGAAATCTCAAGTCAAAAGCAACCAGAAACACAGAGGTGTGCAAATAAGCCACCAAGTGGCCACTTCTTTAACAGGCTGTCTACCGTACTGCCACCCACCAAGAGTCAAGATTTAGAAGAGTGTAGAGTGTCAAGTAATAGCTGTACATCAGCACTAAACAATTGAGTGTTTCTCCGTGACATCAACAACTTCACACTCCAGATAAGTCTCTTTGCTTTTACGGCCGTCCAGCATAAGAACTGAATGGAATTCTTCAAATGGCCATCTACCACTTAGGGAGAACTCGAGGTAGGCATTTTGTCTGGACTCAGTGCCCTTCTGGCTCCCTGGATGATTACCAAGGGTTCTGGCTGGAGAGGTAAGGACATGGCAACATTACAGAGGCCAGTGGGCCAGAAAGAGAATGGGAGGAGAAACTCCAGACTCAAAGAAAACCTCTACGATGGTATTCCCTGGCAGACACACATGCAAATCATTTGTAATTTCAAATGTTCTGTTAGCTACATCCAGAGTAAAAAGGAGCAGGTGAATAATTCCATAACACAATTTTCCCTAGTCTAGTGTATCCCACACATTTGTATTTCAACATGGAATTCATAGAAGAGATTATTCATGAGCTCTTTTGCTGGATTTTTCTCCTTCTTCCAATGAATCCTGTATGTGCTTTACATTTAAAGCAGGTCTCACTCAGACGGTCCACAGATCAAGTACTCAGGTAGGTTAAGTGCATATGGTTTGTGGCCACCATAGCTGCACAGGCCTAAAGGGAAACCAAGTGAAAGGAACACAGTCCAACTCAAGTAGAAACTTCTAAGAAATTGTGACAGTGCCTGAGTTTTCCTGACAAGATAAAGCGAGGACAATTCCCCTGAATGGTTTTTCTTTATCAATCTTAAACAAGTGCTTCATTGTGAAATCACAAAACACATCAGCAGGATTGGGCCAGCTGGTGGGGGGTGGGGGGGGGCTGCAGGGCGTGACCAGCATCTAGTCCACAGCTGCACCAGCATTAGGGCTGGCTCAAACCATCACTACTCTTTCATGTGCCTTTTCTCTTTGTACTTTCAATCTTCCAACAGCCCTGTGAGGAAGGAAGGATCAATTCCATCCCACAGATTAAAAAACAAAACAAAGAAAAAACCTGATGCCCTGGCAATTTAAATTACTTGCTCATCTCTGTTCACTGCTCTTAGACTTGGGCCAAGAATTCAAGCCTCAACCCTACCCTAGGCTTCCTCAGCAAGCAGATGTCAGAAACAGACAAAAAGCCACAATGAGTCCAACGCATCTGTGAGTCACTAACAGGTGCCTATCTAATAGCACTGCCCATTTCTAAACACTTACATCCTTACATTTAATCACCAGGAAAGAAGAATGTAACTGCTCTAGGACCATGCCCAAGTACCACCCAGAGAAACTGGCCCGTCCAAGGTCACCTGGGATAATCATCTCTGCGTTCAACACCTCTCTCTCCTACCCCACACTCACTCCCTCGATAACTACTTTTACTTTTAAATACCAAGGCCACTTTTCAGATATATTTTGTTATTTTATCCAACTGCAAATGAAGTCAAGGATAGGGTACAGTTTTTAATCAATCACAAAAGAACCCTCCTCCAGCACTAGCCTTACAGTGGTCCTTACAGTGGCCCCATGGTGTTCTTGGCTCTTTGAGGTGGGAACCTGGCCCTACTAATCAAACAGTTACACACACATACACACATACACACACACACACACACACACACACACACATCAAATGCATGAAGGTATGTAATATCTCAGAGGATGCACCTCCTCTCCTCCTGGGCTCTGGTCAGTGGAGAGCTCAAACAACCACTATCTATGGGGTCTGGCCTATCTTTATTTTACACAATGTACTATTTCAGCATGCTTACCAATTGAGGACTTCTTTGCGACTAGCTAGAGTACATGGGCTCTGGGTCTTTCACTAGGCCAACCACTAAATAATAAGTACTTACAGCTAACACACTGAGGAAAACCAGTGAAGAGAACCTTTCTAGCCACTATATCTAAACACTGGTGAACATATAAGACAAAAAAATAAAATAAAATTAATTTAATTTAAAAAAAAAGACAAAGGTGCCCAATGTTGGTAGCTCACACCTATACTCCCAGCCACTCAGAAGGCTAAGCTCTAATTATCACAATTCAAAGCCAGTCCAGGCAAGAAAACTTGAGACTCTTATATCCAATTAACTACCAAAAAGCCAGAAGTAGAACTGTGGCTCAAGTGGTAAAGTGTCAGCCTTGAATATTAAAAAAAAACAAAACCCTCAAGGACAGTGCCCAGGCCCTGAGTTCAAGCCTCAAGACCAATACAATAAGTAAATAATAAATTAATTATTTAAATGAAAATGCACCCTCTTACACAGCTATCTGCAAGCACGTCTTGAACAAGTCTGAACCACAAACTCCTGTAAACCCATCCAGAACTTGCTTGCCTCAGCTAGGAGGAGTTCTAATTATAAGCCACAACACTCATGCACTCCTGTGAATGCTTAAGACCAAGGACCACTTACAAAGGACGTGAGTAAGCTCTTTATTTTTCCTTTATTAAACTATATTCATGCTAACGAAGTCTTGCTATACAAAAAAAAAAAATCTCTTCTTGCAAAGGATAAGCAGCCCCTACCTGCCAATCTTGGGGTATTTTCCAAACCTACCAGGTTCCCCTTTCTCATCAGGAATCCAAAGCTGAAGGCCCACCGACTTCTAGTCCAGAAGTGCAGTGGATTATTGCTAATATATGATTGGATCTGTCTTGACAGCAGCCATGATGGCCTCCATTCCTGGGGCTCTCAAGTGCAGAAGAAAGCCAACCAGCACCCCCGGCAGTTGGGGCCCCTTTCCACAGAACGCCATACCGCGTTCCGATGTGACAGAGCCTCACCTTGGTTCCCAGGACCCATGTATTCAGAGGAGGAAGAGGAGGAAAAGGAAAAGAAAAGAAGGGAAAGAAGGAGGGGAAGGGGAAGGGGGAGGAGGAGGAGGAAGCAGAGAGAAGAGAGTAGCAGACCCCAGTGTTCTTACTTTTCTGGCAGTGATTCGTGGTCCAGCAGCGGTAGTTGTACTCGTTGTTGATGGTGGTCTTCTCACACACCGGCTTCTCCTCCATGGTCCCGGGACACAGGTCCCCACATTCCTTTGGGGACTTGTTCCCCACGATGTAGTTATTGGACACGGCATCCAGGATCAGGGACCAGTCCACCGTGGAGAGGTAACAGAGGTCAGCATTCTTCTCGATTCTGATAGCCCCCCGAGTAATGTTCCTCAGGTTGTACAGCCCAATGTCCTTGAGATTGGTCATCTCGAAGATGACCAGGGCGTAGTTGTAGAAGAGTTTCCAGCCACGGATGACCGTGAGGTTGGGGAAGAGGTCCCCGAGGCTCTCCAGGCCGGCCACGCGGAACAGCAGCAGGTACTCGGTGATGACGGTGAGCTTGGGGAAGCGGTAGCTGCGGTAGTCCTCGGCCTTGGAGATGAGCAGGATGTGGAGGTAGCCCTCGATCACTGTGCAGTTCTCCAGGCGCCTCAGCTGCTGGTAGTCATTGCGGATGTCGATGCCTGGTCCACAGACTAAGCGGGGGACAAGAGGGCAGAGGCAGGACATGTTTCAGTGCAAAGAAGGGAAGTCTTTTTTGTTTTCTTTTTTTTTTTTTTTTTGGTAGGTCATGGGGCTTGAACTCGGCCTGGGCACTGTCCCTGTGCTCTTCAGCTCAAGGCTAGCGCTCTACCACTTGAGCCACAGTGTCACTTCCTGTTTTCTAGTGGTTTACTGGAGATAAGAGTCTTATGGACTTTCCTGCCCCGGCTGACTTTGAACCACGCTCCTCAGATCTCCAGCCTCCTGAGTAGCTAGGATGACAGGCATGAGCCACATGCCCGGCTAGCAGGGAAGTCTTAAAACTACTTCCCAACCCACAATGTGGTCAATTCATGGGGGGAAAATAATCTATGTTAAGGAAAGGAGATACAGTTCTCCACTGCAGACTAATGAGGTACAAGCTGTAGGCTGAATACCTGGCTGATGATCTGGCTACTTATAGTACCCTCATGAAGTGCCTACACCAAGCCAGATGCTGGCCAACACACTCCCTGACTGTGGCAGAGACTAGGTGCAAATGAAAGCCGAGAGTCCAAGGTATCATGAGGGTACAGGCAAAAAAATGAGGCTGCAGCCCAGCTCCTCAGCTGAACAGAGCTCAGTTAGGCAAGATTCAACAACCTCCATCTGCACCACTAAGCCATCCTGTCTACACTGGAGGATAGTCACCATGACCAAGACAGTGGAGACTCAAAGCAGCCTGCTTTGAATCAAACATCTATAGGTCAGGTAGGAGGGTACGTGTGGTCAGCAAGCATATGAACTAGGAAGTACCTTGTGCAGATCACTGGTTCTCTGCGATTCTCAAATGCACATCAATGACAGGTACTCATCCAAGTGTACCCCTCTGCCTCCTCCACATCTATTTCCTTCCACCCCATACACTACCTCCCAAGTCTCCCTATCTTTTACTCAATGACTCTCTTATTCTCTGACTTGTTCATGTCCAAGATCGGCCATTCCTGATGCTCCTCTGAAGGCACAAAGCTAGCAATTTAACCAGCAACACCTTTCTCTGGGCTCTATATCCCAAAGCCAGAGGGTTCTTGGATGCTTTTCTCAGTTATACCCCTATCTCCCTGTCTCGGGAACCCAGCTCAGACCTTTCTTTTCACTTTGTCAGGCCCACAATGGCAGGTCCAGGAAGATGGGGAAGGGAAGTTGTTTTTATTTCCCTCACAATTATGTCCTCAGGACCTAGTACTTGGTCCAAAGTTACTATATCGCAGAGCAGGTGTTGCATGAATGAAGTCCACCCAGCCAGTGTCTCTATCACTGAACCCTGTGATCTGAACCCTGTGGACTCCAGGGTGGTCTGCAGCCATACCTTCCCATGCCCAGCCTCCCCTGACTCCAGGGGAGTTCATCTCTTCCTACTGCTACTTAATCTAATGATGTTCTCCTTGCTTAATTAGCCAAACAGTCTCCATCTCCACCACACCAAGCTCCTTCCCTCTTCTCCCTTCCTTCTTCTCTCCACACACTGCCTTGATCTCTCCCTATGCAGATTTCAACTCAAATATCACTGCCTCACAGCTGTGCCCAAACATTCCTCCCCACCCCGCAACTTCACCCTTCTTTCTCCCCCCCCCACACTGATTTTTCCATTTCAGGTCAGTAACTGCACATCCTGGAGGACTAAGGCTTGAGTCTTCTCTGAGAGACAAGGAAAAAAACCTATTTCTTTCTTTCAATGTCCCATTTAAAAATTCTCATTCTTTCGATGTCACTATAGGTTGAGTACATTTATTTGTTTATCCAAGAGCATCTGAACTCAAATCTATTCTTGTATTCAACACATGCTCAGTCACAAAGAATGAGGCTCCAATTTTATTTGCCATCATTTCCAATAAATCACAGAAATTTAGGACGCAGAGGAAAAGCATGAAGGCACAGAACCCAAGCCGGCTGGACTTCCACACTGCCACCAGATGCAGACGGCAGCGAAGAATCTGCTTCTCTCTGCCATCTGGCTCCTGTCCATGGCCAGCGAAGACCTCTGCAGGCGGAGGTGGACCTGGCCGAGCCTCCCAATGAAAAAGCCATCTCCACACTTCACACTTTCCTCCCCATTCATAGAACAAAAGGGGGAAAAAATAGGAAGAAACTACCCTTTCATTCCGGAAGAGAGGACAAACCCAAGCCACAAAGTACAAGGCAGGACCCAACAAACAGCCATTTGGGATTCTGTGAATGACACTGTTGGTCTTTGGGGTGTTTTGTCACAGAAACAGAAAAAGAAAGAAAGGGAGAGAGAGAGAGAAAAAAAAAAGGAACTCAAGCTGGACCATGAATGATAGCACAGTGTTCAGAATGCACCAGCCACAAACAGGAAGGAGAATGCTGCATGCTACATTCTGTTTGTTCTGGGAAAGAATGCATGCATTCAGAGAATAAATACTGGGCATAGAGTGTGAGATACGCCCTTTGCTACCACCCATTGATGACTACGGAGACTTAACAAAACTCCATTCCTCCCTTTGCAAAGCAACCCACACGGGCAGGATCCACTTGAAGAAGGTGAGATCTAGGATGGCTTAAGAAGAGAAGGGAAAGTTGGCGTTGATGAGGAGAGGCAGGAAGCAGGGAGAAGGGCTGTCACAGGGCAGGGGGTGGGGAGATGGCCTAGCTGCAGTGCCCTGAGCCACAGCAAATCAGCAGAGGCCAACTGATGTATGTTGAAGGCTGGGGAGGGTCAGGCAGCCTGGTACCTGGGGCAGAACTCACTTTCCCAAAGATACCATTTTAAAACCAAACCTTTTACAACTGCAAAGGTCACTGAGAAAACACACACACACACACACAAAGCAATGGACCTAAATGTTTGTAAGAGTTATTCTAGAAATGTAGTATGTTTATAACGTGTTCTGCAAGCCATGGAAGCTTGAGATCCTAGAAAAAGAAAATCGGTTGGCTCAGGGCTGCATCTTTTTCAAGGGCAAGAAGGGCTGTTCCCACCTACTGTGCAGAAGAGGCCATGACAACCAGCTAAGTGGAATGTGTTACTGCCAACAGTCACAGGCTTGAGGCAGCATTACTGATCAACACACGTTAGTTAAAAAAAAAAAAATGCCCCTCCACTCTTTTTAAACATCCTCTCCATTATTTTTGCTGCCAGTCTAAATATTACTAGCAAATACGGTGAATAGCAAAATCCTTCATTATCCTTCAACAATTCCCTTAGAGAGTATCATGCTATCCGCTTCATTAAAATGTTTTTTATTTTGATCAAGCCTTCTTCAAAATATGGGAGAGTCTTAGCTTACGGCTGGAAATAAAAACATTGAGAAGAAAAATTAGAGCTCTCTTACTATAGGTCTATAGGCAAATAACTAAGGAAAATATATTAGCCAACCAAGCATCAACTCTGGTTCTGATGATAAAAGCCAACCTAAAAAAGCCTTGGAGTCTGTGTAAGAAATCTATTTGGTCTCAGCTGGTGGCTCTCTATAGCCGTTCATTACTTGTCTTAGAAATGAATTCATTGGAACAGATAACTTTATACACCAAAACTCTCACTAGATGCTATCTTTCTGTGGGAGTCAAAATGATTTAAAGGGTTAGGGGAGGATTAACCTGCTACAGGAGCAACCTCGTCTCCAGCAAGTAGCAAACTAGACACCATGAGATGACCCCCAGTCAGGGCTGCAGGAACGTGACGAGAGGGGCTCGTGACTTCATTCTAAGAAGGTCAGGAAGACTTTTCAGAGGGGGAAACCCTGGAAGATGAGCTGATGATTGGCGGGACCTTGCCATTTCTCTTCTTCTAGGACCCACGCTTGAGTCTATCACAGAGGCTGGGCATCTAGACTCATCTTGGAGATGGCTGGAGCCCACTTGACTCCCCCTGGGGAGGACTCTGGGGGTTATGGCCTGTGCAGCAGGGACCAGAGTAAACACAGCAGCAGAACTGAGGCGACAGAGCAGCCTGAGACATGGAAGTGACTCAGGAAGCCAACTTTACTTTGCACCTCATAAGACAGCATTCAAAATCCCTATCATGCACTGAGACCATGCTAAAAGCTCACAGAAACACCAAAAATTTGCTCCTGAGAAGTGCCCAGGTGATACCACTCCTGCTGATCCAGGAGGCCCTTCCTGAACCCAGGGATGGGCCTGCGGGACCCACTGCATAGGAAAGAACTCACTGACTTGCCCCTCACCCGCCTAGGTTGCAGTGCAGGTGCAGCCTATGATCAGGTGTTTGCCTGACCTGAACACAGCCAGAAAACCCTGAAGCAGCCCACAGGAACTGGACACACAGAACAGTGCAAGGTAAAAGAAAACAGCACCAGAAAACCGCATGGACCTCCCAAAGTGGCAGAGATTACAGGAGACCTTCGAAGTCTGGTAGAACCAAGCCAAGGGGGTGGGGAGGGTGGCGAGAGATTGCTTGGGAATAGAGATCTTATCCTGCAACTAACAACAACCAAAAAAAAAAAATCAGAGACTGGGAGATGGGAGAAGAGGGAGATAGTGTTATGATAATAAACACTACCAATTCTCCAGAGTTGGTTAGAGTAGAATTTTCTGTGTTAAGTATAAACAGACACAATTCATGGTAAGCTCTTTATCTGCGTGTGTCAATGAGAAGGTGTTTACATTGTATATGTACATTTCTGTTTTTCACACAGATGGCAGTCTGAGCCACCTGACACATCCAATAGTGAAAGGGAATCACAGGAACTGAAGGAATTCCTATTATATAACACGTGACTTTTGAGGGCAGAAATTAAAACCTAAGTGCCATCCGATTGTGCAAATTATTCTTTACTGCCTGGCAGCAGTAGTTCACACCTGTAATCCTAGCTACTCAGAAGGCTGAGATCTGAGAATCACAGTTTGAAGCCAGCCCAGGCAGGAAAGTGTGAGATTCTTATCTCCAATTAAGCACCTAAAAATGGGAAGTGGAGCTGTGGCTCCAAGTGTTAGAGCATAACTCTGAACATACACACACAAAGCTCAGGGCCAG